CTGTGGCCGCAACTTTTTGTATTCTTTTGAAAGGGCGGTTCGCGTCCGTCTTCCTTCGAATTCGATTGTGGAAATCCACACGGACTACTTGCCTTTGAAGTGAAGTATTCTCTGAGAGAGACATGTCCGGGAGGTTCGAGAGAGTGTTTGGGAGCCTAAACCCCTAGCAGGGTGATAACCCAAAATAAACGCTGATCTAGCGAGCTAGGAGGTGGCTTATTAATTAACCAATAAAGATCTGCCAGCACATATTATTTCCTGGATTATTTCGATGATCCCATTAATTTCAATTAACCATGAGAAATAGGAGGTGGCCTTTTCTATCTTTTAGAAGGTTCTTGGATGGTGAGAATATTATTTTTTTTTAATGAATTACGAATCATCTAATATATAGTTACATGTTATAGCCAGTAAAAACATTACTTAACAAAAGCCAGGAAATTTACAAACAAAACAAAAGAATCCAAATCAAATACAGGAAAAATTAATTAAGATGATCATATATAAAAACTATAGGCATCTCTAAAAACTCCTTTAGCTGACCAAATTATTCATTCGTTTCTTGATTCTTCTCTTAATAAATATATTGAAAATCAATACTATATAGCTGGCCTATCACATATATTAAAAATAACATTAAACACATATTGCAATTATCAAAGCTGCGCATCATTATTATTTTTCAATTCAACAGACAGTATTATAAAAATCTTACTTCAGAGTCCATTAACGAGAAAAAACATTATGATCACAAACTGATTATAATATTGCACAACTGATTTTCATTGTTTAACTGTTGAGGATAAGGACAGCAATCACTAATACTCGTGGAATAAATTAATAAAAGATGATGGCTCGCATGCGTGTCCTAACCAGCTGGTTTGGATAGACAGATTATGTCATAATATTATCAAGTCTTAAGAGATTGCACCACTGTAAGGAATAATCACTCCTTTCCTAATATTAAAACCCAAAATCGGCATAAATATATTGTTATTAAACTAAGCCTCGTTTTGTGGGTCCACACAGTTGTCAGCAATAATCACTCTCTCCTTTTTTCTTTTTCCTTTTCTTTTTACCCTTTATTTTATAACATTTGAAGTCGAAAAATATTCATAAGTCTTGGACTGCTACTTCTCCCTGCAAGGTATAATATTATCTGGTCAAATTAGAGCCAGACTTGCTTCTCAAACAATATCTTTTGTGAAAACGGATCACTATATCCCATGAAACAATACGTGTGCCACTCCCAAACTGTACGTGTTTCCATGGCTACATCCATGATCGATCAAGCTTCAGCACTGACTTCAATTCTCAAGCTTAGTTTTTGTACGGTGATCTAGGAAACAATACGTGTGTCAATGGATGATCCGCCTCCATAGTTGCGAAGGCTTTGGTTCGTTTTGCCATCATCATCACGCTACTGTCAGTTCTAGTTTGTGTCGCTGTTGCCCTTTGTTCGAACATTAGCACCGGCGTTAACCCTATAATTTGACCAAGAGATGACGGTTCACTCAATATAGATGACTTAGACTCCAAGGCGACAACGTCAGCATCAGCTTGCAGCTAGAGTTACCAAGAATCAAGATGAAAGCAACCAGAAGCACTGGCAAGATCTTCATGATCAAATAATTGCCTGCAATAACACGTGAACAAGCTATAAATCCATATATTTAAACCCTTAGCCAGTATCTCAATTTTTTTTCCCTTCAAAAACAAACTGGCGATAGAAAACGAGATAATTAAAGGAACTGAAGCTGGTTAAAAGTACCACACATAAATTTGCGTTGTTTTATATATTCATCACCATTAACGATTACAATGGTAGTGTGAGATCAATGCATGATCGAACTGTGTATGACTAGAAAAAAAGGCAAGAAACTGTGCTGCCATTTTTAGGGTTCAATAGTGGTGATAAATCAATTAAATTATGTGAAAATTGTAAAAAAAAATAATTCTCACTAAATATAATTGTTAATCTTTCACTATGCACATTAAAGTCTGCAATCGAGGTGGCCGAGTGTGTGTGTGTGTATCAAATTATGTGAAAATTATAAATAAATAATTATCACTTAATATTATTGATCTTTCATAATGTGCATTAAAGTCTGCAATCGAGGTGGACGAGTGTATATATGTGGGCGGGGGGTGGTTATAAAAATCAATAATACAATGGTACCTTTTGCATGGTAAATTAAAGAATATAACGTAGTCGTTTTAAAGACTAGGACCACTAATACTGGTAATTTACATGCAGTCAATGTCTCATGATCGAAAGCTCTCTGTCTCTCTCCCCGTAGAAAACCAGGTGGGCCTACAGCTACCTAATTTGATCTTTAGATATTTACTAGTAATTAGTAATACACGTTGGGTTGGTTACTGATATTTCAAGACTCTATGCTGAAATATTTATTAGAATTACTCTCAGCTTTTAAATTTAAGTTCTATTTTTATATTTTAAAAATATTTTAAAAAAATAAATTTTTTATTGATTTTTGTTTCAATTTTTTTATATTTTTAGATTGTTCGATGTTTTAATGTAAAAAATAATTTCACAAAATTGTATAACCCTAACTGTCTAATTTCTCAAACTTTACCGTATACATTCCATAGTTTGATTGGAGTTTTGAATCTAATGCAGATGAAGGTTATGTGATTATCAAAAGTGATGATAACTTCTGACACTTTTTTTTTTTGTTGAAATCGAGAATAGATATATAATAAAAAGAGAAAACATGAACAGTGTGAACAGAGCTTTAGCTAGTAGCCTAAACATCAGCCTAATTACAAAAAAGAAATACAAGAAAACTTATAGCCCTACTATTAAGAGCAAACCAAACCCACACTAAATTAGAAATTAAGCAGACCAGGCCGAAATGCATTCATGATTCTTATACAGATCAGCACCAGTATACCAAAAGGAAGAGTTGAGATTCCTGATCCATCCTGCTGCAAAGTAAAACAAATGTCATAGTATATCTTCCTATATTGGCTTTTGTTCCTCAAATATCAAGTTGTTCCTAGCAGTCCATATAGTCCAGACAATGCTAAATATAAAGCCCCTCCAAACAGATTTTTCAAACTTACCGTTACCCTGCAAAAGACCCAACCATTGACATTGAAGGTCGTCAAGGCTATATGGCATTACCCAGTTTAGACCTCTCCAAGCTATAATTTTGTTCCATAGTTTCCAAACCACTGGACAATACAAGAGGATGTGGGATACAGTTTCTGAATGCTGCTCACAAAAAGGGCACTTGTCCTCTTGAGGGTTTAGGACGTGCCTCTTCACCAGGAAAGCTCTTGTGCAAAGGCCTTTATTTAAGGCCAGCCATAAAGTCATTTCTGTTTTTGGAGGGCAAATGGATTTCCATACATTTGTGACATAAGTTATAGAACCAGCATACTTGATCCTTTCAAGGGTGACCATACAAGAGTTTACAGTATAGTCTCCATCTTTCCCCCATTCTCAAATCAACCTATCTTTTTTCAATTGATGAATAACTGCAAGATTAAGATCAGACATTAATCTTTGAACAATCAGGGTCTCACTAGCTTTGAGGGGCCTTCTCCAATTCAGATTCCAATACCAAGAATCCTTTAACCAGTATCCCATTTGACTAACAAACCCTGACTTAGAGGAGGACAAGTGGAAGAGGGCCGGATAAGAGTTAGCTAAGCAGAAGCCAATCAACCAAGTATCTAACCAAAATTTAACATGATTACCATTACTCAATGTGGAGATAGTGGTGTCCATAATCCTTACAAATGGTATCAGAGCTATGCCCCAGAATTAGCCATGATGGATAAATTCTCGGAATGCCAAACGAATGTGGTAGACCCTAATTAGATCATGATGTAATTCATAGATAAGCTCTATTGGATAGGCAGTGTACTCCCTTCATGGATATGTCCTAAACCCAATACGGTGAAGAAGAGTTGACCTAGAAAGAGCAAACTCTCAAGTCAAGTAATGTTCTCCGAATGCTTCATGGACATGTCCTGACCCCAATACGATGAAGTAGAGAATGAAAAATCCTGGTTGGTAAAGACTGGATGGATAAACGATCATTTGAGAGGAGGCTCAGTGGTTTTTTGTTCGAGGGGAGGATTGTTGGGTATACGACCAAAGTCTCACATTGGCTAAAAATAAGTAGGATCGTGGATATATAAGGATGGATAAATATTTTTATTAGTATGGAGCTTTTTGAGTATAATTCAAGAGCAAATTCATAAGAACTTAAGTACAAAGTAGAAAATATTATACCAATATGGAGATAGTGGTATTCATAGTCATTATAGATGCTTCGACTGAGATTGTTTCAATTAGACGAGTGTTAGGATATCGACTGGACGATTGATCTTGTTTCAAATATTGGGAGCTTTGCAGTGTCTGTGATGTTCTTTTGGTTGGGATTGGGTAGCTCGGTGATGGATCATTGACGTCTTGAACGATCGCTTGGAAACTAAGGGTATGATTCATTGTACCTGTCACAGTGCCCCCATAATCAAGGTATCAAAACAAAGTACTCATCCTTACCAGTTAGGGAATAGTTAGTTTTGTTTGTAATGAAACCACGAACAGTAATTATTTCTTTTGATGAATGGGAAAAGTTTTCCCTAGCCGATCCAGGCTGCAATTGAAACATCATCTCACTACTTGACTAATGTTTAGTGGCAAGCTGTTTCCTACGATCATGTCTGCACATAAACAAAACATATATATAATAAACTGGTGCTCATCAATAGCTAGTTGCCATGCCTTTTTTATTTCCATGCAAGTATTAATAATTTTGGCCTAAAAGCCAGACTTGCATCTCACAAGATACCTTCACGTAGAAACTGATTGCTATTTCACATGAAACAATACGCGTCACACAAGCATAAAGTGGTTTTCGTGTCTCGAAACATGCTTGTCTCCGCTTTATTAACATTTCAAAGCAAAGCCACACAATATATATATCTGTGTGTGCGCGCGCGCGCGCTTGCTTGCTTGCTTAACTGGCTTAACGTGGTCTAGTATCATTTGTGTAATGGTGGTGTGTATCAGTAGATGACCCACCTCCATATCTACCATAGCTTTGGTTAGTTTCTTCGTCGTCGTCGCCGTCACCAGAAGCGCCACTACCAGTTTTAGTTTCCGTGTTATTGTTGCCGTTGTTTGAAGTGGGCGTCCCGGCATCATTAGCTCCAGCGCTTACCTTTCGACCGAGAGATGATGGTTCACTCAATAGATGACGGTTGGCCACCTTAGGCTTCGTGTTGGTGAGCACTTCTGCATCAGCTTGCAGAGCTGCTAACATCAACAGGAAAGCAATGAAGAGCGCTGGCAAGATCTTCATCATGATAAAATACTTTTCTGAAAGAGCCTGTAAACAAGCAATAATTAACATGTTAAACTATTGGTTAAGATCTCTCTTTTTTTTTCAGAAACAAACTAGCAATGTTAGGAACTCAAGCTATCTAGCGCTTGGTCAAGACTTACAGACATATAATTTGCTTTGTCTGAGCTATGTGGAAAAATGGGATCTAATTAGGGTCGCTATATATAGCCAGTTTTTACATCACTGTTTAACGATTACAGTCGGATGGCGAGATCGGTGAATGCTCCAATCTCCTGTGTGAACACTAAAAAAGCAAGAATATTGCAGTGGTAGTATCACAATGTCGTACCACCATTGGAAGATGCAGTAGCCACCAAAGAAGTAATTATGATTAAGATTGATAATTAAGGCATTTTCACTGGGACGTTCAACATTGTAATGATTAATCATGGATCATGCTGCCATTTTAGGGTTAAATAGCGGTGATAAAATGCGAAAAGGCGTTAAAAAATCTTCTCACCTGTAAGAATCATTGATTTCTGTTACATTTTTTGGCAAATGGGCACTTGGCTATATATATGTGGGTACGGTTAATTCAATAATTATAACATTGCCTGGCTCAATCCTATGGACCCATATTGCATGGTAATTAAAACAATATAACGTCGTCTTTTTTAGACTGTAAGGCCAACAACTTTTATTAATTTACGTGCAGCTTAATTATGTTTCATGCTGGCTCTCTAAAAGAGCTGGTGCACCTGCGCACAGTTAACTAGCTAGTTTGTTTATGCCGCTGCGATTATGGCTCTATTTTAATTAAAATATAATTTATAGTTATTTGATTAAGAAAAAAAATATAAAGTAATATACTGTTTATAATTCTTATTTTTTTTTGTTGCTGGAAACACATTAAAGAAAAGCAGGATTCCTTGTTTTTCTTTCATATAATTACACTGCTTAATAAAAAATGAACCAATCTAATCTAATCTAATCTAATTCAAATTCTAATCTAATTCAAATGAATCATGCATGAGAATTGCATTATTCATTTAAAAATAATGAATAGTACAATATAGTATAATTTTTTTTTAATGTATTAATTTTTTAATATTTTTTTAAAAAAATTAGTTTAGAAAAAATTTTATACCTCATATATTTTATATAATTTTATTACATGCTAAAAAAATTATAAAACTATAATTTTTGTTGGATGTATTTCGTATGTAATGAAATTATAAATGGTTTTATGAAATAATAAAAAATATTTTATATAAAATATTATTTATTTTATGATATAAAAGCAATAGTTAAATCTATAATATTTAAATTAAAAATCATCAATATTAATATATATTTTTTAAAATTATTTTATAATTTTAATTTTAAAAGCATTCTTAATCAAATATATTAATTATTTTTTTCAATTTCAATCATAATTTTAATTAAATATTTATTTTTTCAAATTAATTTCAAAAAAAAAAATTAATTTTTTTTTTTTTTTTAAATCACAACTATTGTAATATCAAGCAACAGTTAGCTATCGCTGATGTCTTGCCCATGTTTCCTTTTTCTGCTTTTCATTAGAAGATACAGTAGCTTTAATCGTCATTTCGATTTCTTGGGAACTGGGAGGGGATTTTTTTTAATTTAGAATGCGCGCAGGTCGTGTAGCTCCAAGTCATTTAGATGCGAGAATCCGTCTCTATTCTCCAATGGGTTGATTTATATGAGCCCTTTGTATGTTTTCTTAGCCGCGTCGCTCGCGCATTTTCACGATGCGAGTCTGTCCACAATATTTCACTTCTTCCATGAACATCTTGAATATCTAACCACAAAACGAAAACCGCAGTCATAGATCAGAATTACTGGACCAATTAAATCTTGAATGAATATTGCTTGACAGTGCAGTTATTTTAACCTTCAAAGTACTAAAAGGAGCTGTATAAATAAAATACATGAATAAATAAAGTTCGTTTTTTCGATATATAAACGGTTAATTATAAGGATGGACATGTGGAGTTTTCTTAATTATATGCAGATTTTAATATGATATTTATTTTATTAATTGCTCTTGATTTTTTTTTTCAATTATGAATGTTCAAATCAATTTATGTTTTTGAGTAATCCTTTGAAGTTTTGAAATTAATAATTATGTAAATTTTAAGTAGTTATATCTAAAAAATAAATATGTAATCTGATTTGTTGAGTTATATTCTTAAAAAATATTTTTATAATTATATATATATATATATATATTAGACAATTCCCAACTAATTTTATAATTTCCGAAATTATGATGTTTGTGATTACTCTGAGGCGCGTTGGATTGTTAGGAGCTGTTAGTTGCCTGTATTGGCTCTCTTCCCTAGTGCGAGGCGTCTACTTCTTGTGGATGGACATCAGTGTAGCTTCCTTTTTGTGTTCATGTTTTCTTCTCTAGCTATTGCTGTCTTGAGCTTGTTTCTTTTCACCTTGTGACTTACTTCTCTTGGTGTTTATTGTGTTCCTTTTCTTATATAAAAAAATTACAAATAAATATCAAAACTCAAAAATATACTAAAAATTAAGGAACAAAAATTAAAAAGTTAATTTGGTCTGCAGCCCGTATGCAAGCCAACAATGGACTTGCCAAGAAGGTGATTGAATAACGCGTTGTGTGCTTCACTTAGAATTTTTATTTGACAATTTTTTTTAACTCATAAACTCTGTAATATCATTAGCAATCAACAATTAATAAACAAAACTAAAATAACAGCCTCTTTTAATATTAAAACACTATTTACACTCTCACATAAAAAATATTTCTATGCATTTTGCCTAATGTTTTCATTTTGATCCCTTATTTTGCAAGGTTTGCCTTTCAGTTACATGTTTGTTTTTTCTAATTACATCATTTAATATTATATTTTCAGGTGCTTAAATATTTTTTGATGAACTGGATATATTGTTAAATATCTTTACACTAAATTAATGATAATTTTATAAAATAGAGTTCTGTTTAATATGAGAGATATAGGATCAAAATTGAATAAAAGAAGAAATATATGACATTTCCACAAAAGTTTTATTTAATCCCTCAAGTTTCAATTTTTCATCTTTCGTAACAGTAATGAAAGTAATATGAGCTGTTGGATCATTTGTTTTGAAAAGGCTTGCGTGGTCCACTAAAAAAATACTCTTTGCCATGGCCCGGCCCATCAAAACTCTCTACAGTCTACCAATAATTGCTTAACATCCATTATCATGCTTTATAGCCTTCACTAATCTAAAAACAGAAGCCGTGTCAGCCATAATTTAAGTTAATCAGAACATACATCTTCTCGCCCTCCACCATGAAAGTATATAATTAGACAATCCCTTCTGCTCTATTTCATTTTCATAATTCGGTAACATAATAAATAAATAAACTCCAAGGCCTCCCGCCAAAAACAAAATGAAAGGCGTATTAGATACCATCGAGAAAAGACTACTCGCGATCTTCATTGGATCGCATATTCCAAGCGTCTAAACTGAAGAAGCCACTAAGATAAATCAATTTAATTTAATGCCAAACCCGTCTGTTTGAAAACTTAAATTTGAGTAAACCTTAGACAATTCAAAAATCTTTATAATCAATTGAAATTAAATATTTTTATAAATCATACTGCAAAACTAAAGAAAAGATTAGCTTGTGCAGCAGATGAATCAATTACTACAGATTGCGCATCCAGCTTAGCAATCATATCTTGGTAATTGTGAGCGATTAAATGTTCCAGAACTCTCTTGAACGCCATGGCATCAGCCATCTTAGAATTATACAGCCATACAGGCCTCCAATGGTCCAGCAAACCACAGCAATCGACACGCCCTTCATGATCTCTAATTACGAACCTGTTTCCATTGCCGTTTCCTCCAAAGAATCGCAGCATCCACATTACATTTTAGATCGCCAAAACGTGGCTTCCCTCATCTTTGTTGCCTCTGTTGCTGTGAACTTGTTGGAGGAGGACATTTGAGCTGATTTTCAAATATTCAAAAGCTCAATAGCCTTCTTGACTCCTAGATGAGCGGGCATTAACACGCAAAGAGTAGCTGCTGCTTTTGAAATCAAGTACTCATCAACCAAATAGAACAGGTTGAATAGCCAGTCTTGGAGCTCACATTCTAATGTCAAATGAACACCAATTCCTAACTCGTGCCAACAACACTTAACAAATGAGCAATATACAAATACATGTTCCTTTAATTCTCCAACAGCTTCACAGAATACACAGACATCAATGGCATCAACTCTCTTTTGCTGTAAACGTGTCCTTGTTGCGAGACGATTCTGGCAGGCCCGCCACAAAAAAATGCCTTATTTTCATGGGGACTTTCAGGTTCCACAACCTTCTCCATTCTTCCATTGAAGCTTCACCAGATTACTGCACTCCAGCTCAATAGCCATTAATATATTTTTTTATTAGAAAACAATTTAAAATAATATTTCTTATTTTAAAAAATATAAAAATAATTTTTTTTTTATATGTGTGTGAGTAAGTATAAGTGGAATAGATGTCATTAAATTAAGTAAAATGAATCTTATAATTTTAAAATATATTTCAAACAAAAAAAATTATAACTTAAATTTATTTAAATATGAATTTTCTCTCTCCGTTATATTTTCGTTTTCAAATTCAAAACTCGTGTTGATAATCTCTTACCGGCCCTGTGACTTGTGTAGAATCCAAAGAAAAGCTTCGACGGTGCGTTTAGGTCGACAACTCAATACGTTTTCCCGGAAATTAACAAGGAATCCTATGATCTATCTCCAATATCAGAGATTTCTGATGCTGATCATTGTTCCCAAACAGCAACAGTAAGTTTCTCCTCGTTTCTTTTAAATCGTGTATTTTCGCTTTTTTCTCTGATGCAAAGCCGATTTTAATTTCAGAATCTTAATTTTCAATTATTTTTTATTTGTTATTTGAGCTTCTTCTTTTTGTCTGTATTTATGTTTTTTAGATAATTTTTAGAATGGCAACTTTTTTTTTTTTAGAATGGCAACTTTTAATAATATAGGAATTTGATTTGTGTGTTTTTTTCATTTTCGTGCCCTTAATTTCTTCACTTCTGTGGACTTGATCCTAATTGTGGAAGGGTTTCTGTTTACATCCAATTGCACATTTTCTAATTGTGTTTCTGTTTTCTAATAATAGAATGATACCTTCATTCCCCCCCCCCCCCCCCACCCA